CCCCCCAGATTCTATGGTCTTGCAAAGCCATCGAGCTTACATATAAAGATATGTTATAGAATGTATATTTTAAGATTGATTTGACAATGTTGTCACTGTTGTAGACTCACACATTCACTATTCCTTGATAACACAGAAGTTTTCCTGTGCCTCTTGCAGGGTTCTACTCCATGTCGTTGTTCCTTCGCTTCCTTAGAATTACAAAGTTCTGTCAGCTCAGTACCAAATTATGTGAAATTTGACTTTAAAAATTTTAAATTTCACATGTCAAGCTTTTTCGAATGCAATTCTTTGAATATCTTGATAAAGACTTAGAAAATCTTATGATTTTGATGGAGCAGACAGAACGCTTGGTTTCTGACGTCATGGTCTTAGTAACTAACAACTGCCAAAATGTCTCATAGAACTTTGTAATTCTAAGGTAGCACCATGTCTCTTCCCCAGTGGACGTTGATGAAGTTCATGATAGAGAATGTGAGTGCCGGGCCAAACCCCAACAAAGCCCGCCGCTTCCTGGCAGAACATGCAGAGGCCGGCCACCAGCTCCTGGGCCTGCTCAAAGACGCTGTTGTCCGACATCTAGTGCATCAGGTCAAGGCCGGAGCACAGGTAGGAGATCTGACCAGATACCTGTAGGTTTTTCTCCCCGGATTGCAAATATGATGAAAGTCTACTTGTTTTCTCCTGACATAATATCACACGCCAGATGCTGGGTTTTTTATTTTTTTGGTTAATGTTTTTCAGCGCTTGCAACTGCCTAAGGTCATATGAGTGCACAGGACACATTAAACATTTTCAGTTGGTTGGAAATTTTAAATTTTGCCCGGGTGGCGGCCGAAGCCTACTTTTATCGATTTTAGATCACCAAGGGATCTTTAACGTGCTCAACTTGCACACGCGCCCTCCGAGATTTTTCGCCCCTGTCTGAGAAGGCTAGGTGTAGATATTTCCTACCAGAAGATCAAGAGTGTGGCTGAAAGACAGCAGTAAGAAGGTGCCAAGGCGTAGCAGTAGAAAGGCTACAGAAAGAGTCAGGAGCCCAGAGGAGGGGGCAAAGGAGGTGAGGGGGTGGGGCAGAAAGAGGAGATGAAAGCAGACGACAGAACATTGCTAGAGGAGGTGAAAGGAGACAATTTTAGAGAAGAAAATTTTTCAGTCGCTACCCGGGTTCGAACCCGGGACCTTTGAATGAGAGGCCAACACCTTAACCTCTAGGCTACGAGAACCCCCCAGATGCTGTTTAAACTCTCTCAATTTAACCCTGGAACTCTGCCAACAAACTTGATATAAGTGCAGGTACAATGAGCAAATTGTTTTTTATTTTTTTGTAATGTTTAAAAAAAACCCCCACATGAATCTGTTCAAGACAACCACCGATTGTCGAGAATAAAAGTGGTCATTATAGATTAAGACTTGGCGTCGGTGGCCTAGTGGTTAGGCTGTCGGACTCGCAACCGTAAGGTCGCGGGTTCGAATCCCGTCAGGGGCCCGACATTGTGTCCTTGGGAAAGGCACTTTACACGAATTTTCCTCACTTCACCCAGGTGGGAATGGGTACCCGGCTGTAGACAGCGAAAGATCTTAAGG